CTCAATAGTCCTTTTTGGAGAAATAGGCAAGTGTATCCACATTAAAGGTGCAGTTTGCCAGAAAACTGCAGTTGGGGAATGTTTTGTATTGCATATAAGAAATTGCAAGGGCCTACCACAATCTATAAAAGAAATGGTTTGGTCAGAAATGGCCTGTTCTACCAGGGAAATAGCCTGTCTGCCTTTTGGGGTAATCTCGAGGGGAAGTGGGATCAGAGTCTCTTTGCAATATATCATAAAGAGGCTTTAAATCATATTTACTTATTTTTAAGTATGGGGTAAGCCAATTGATATCCCCCAACAGTTTTTGAAAATCATTTAGATTTTTAAGATCGTCAAGCCTCAATTGGGGTCTCTGAGAGAAGACCTGGGAACCTTTTATCTGGAAACCTAGGAAAGTATAAGGATCTGTCAATTGTATTTTATCCGGGGCAATTTGGAGTCCTTTTTTTCCTAAGGCTGTCTGGAGTTTTTGGTAGCTTCGCAAGGTTTTATCTGCTTTGAGTCCTGAGACCAGAACATCGTCCATGTAATGAATAATGTACATGTGTGGCCAATGATCCCTGACCAATTGTAAGGCCGAGGCTACAGAGGATTGGCACAAAGTAGGACTATTTGCCATCCCTTGTGGTAAGATGCACCATTGAAATCTCTGCATGGGCGCTTTAAAATTACGAGCAGGTAAGCTAAAGGCAAAGCGCTTTTGATCTTCTGGATGTAAGGGAATTGTGAAGAAACAGTCTTTTAAATCTACAATAATCTTAAAATAATGTAATGGTATAGCAACTGGGGACGGGAGACCTGGCTGAAGAGCCCCCATAGGGGCCATGGTTTTATTAATGGCTCTAAGATCTTGTAACAAGCGCCATTTACCTGATTTCTTTTTTATGGCAAAAATAGGTGTATTCTATGGAGAATTGCTGGGGACAATATGGCCAGCGGCAAGCTGTTCCTGCACCAGCTGTTGGACCGCTATTAGTTTTGAGGTTGGAAGGGGCCATTGATCGACCCACACAGGTTGATCAGAAAGCCAGGTGATTTTTTTCTGCATGAGTCACAGGAGAATCAATGACCCCTATGGAAAATGGCCTAATCCTGCTCTGGTTAAATTAGGGACAGGAGCCATAGGAGTTTTGATGCCTGTGCCCAATCTTTTAAGACCTTGTCCTGGGGAGAAACCACTATTAAGCATCTGGGCTGTAACTATAGTGTTAGGCTGCCCATGATCAATCCCAATTGTGACAGAAGGTCCCTGCCCCATAAATTAAGTGGCAGATTTGCCATTACATATGGCTTTATGCTACCTTGGTTATCTTCTTGATCTTTTTAGGTTAACATCTGTGAACTTATTTTAGGACTTCGTGATTGACCAACGCCTTGCAAATTTGTTAGGGTGGCAGTCAAGGGCCAATTAGTGGGCCAATCCTCTTTCCTAATAATTGTGACATCAGCACCTGTATCAATAAGTCCTGAAAAATTCTTGCTGTTTAACCATAAGGTCATGAGTGGCTTTTGACTAGAAACATATTGTGCCCAATAAATATCTGAGGACCTAGACCCCCTGTTACTTCTGTGGGTGGAGATTGACTGGTTGGTGGTAGACACCAGTGGCAGCAACAACAACTGAGCAAAACATTGACCTGCTTTGATGGGCATGACATTGTTGGGTGAGGAGACCATAACCTTAATCTCACCATTATAATCATTGTCCACAACTCCAGGGGAGACATGAAGTCCCTCAAAAGTAGAACTACTACGCCCTATGATAAGGCCAAACATACCCTGAGGTGGGGGGCCAAAAACTCCAGTGGAAATGGATTGGGTTCCCTTGTCAGGGGTTAGTATTGTGTCGGAGGTGGAACTGAGGTTTAGTCCTGCGCTTCCTGGGGTTGCCCTGACGAGGTTTGAAATGGATTGTTTTTGCTGGCACAAATCCTGTCGCCCCAAGAAATTGCTTGGGTGTGGGGGCCTGGGGCTGGCCCCATGTCCCGTTTCCCGGCTGCTGTGGGAGCAGAGAGTTTCCATAAGTGTCTCTTTTAGATCTACATTCTCTAGCCCAGTGCTCACCTCGTTTACACCTGGGGCATTACCCGGGCCTTTTTACTTGAGCTTGGGGTTTGTTATTTTTTCCTTTACAATTTTTTTGCTATATGACCAGGCTGACCACAAGTAAAGCAATTGTTATTCTGCCTCTGGAGGTGAAGGAGTTGGTCAACTGTACAACCCTGTAGAGCCGCAGCCATAGCCAAGCCTTGACGATAGGAAGGTCCAATGTCTGCACATAAACTTATGTAACCGGACAAATCAGTCTTTTTTCTGTGAGGTCTAATCGCAGCCTGGCAGGATGAGTTGGCATTTTTAAAAGCAAGTTGTTTAACAATGTCGGAGGCTGTATCGGCATTGCCAAAAAGGCGCTCAGCAGCCTGTAAAAGGCGATTCACAAAATCTGAGAAGGGCTCTTCTGGTCCTTGTTGACTTTTTGCAAATGGGGAAGTTTCCTCTCCTTCTATAGGGAGCTTTTTCCATGCTCTAGTCGCGGCCAAATTAATTTGAGCAAAAAAAAACAGCGTCGTAGCGCATCTGAGCTTCCTTAGTGGAATAGTCACCTGTGCCGGTAAGCATGGCAAAAGTCCAAGGATCGCTATTATCAGCATCGTTTTTTGCTATAATTTCACATTGCTCAAAAAAGTCAGATTTCCATAAGAGGTAATTTACCCCCGAAAGAGTTGCTTTAGCTAGGTCTAGCCAATCCTTTGGAGTAGTCCAGCCCTGAGTCATAGAATTGAGGACAGCGATGGTATAAGCTGCAGTAGGGCCATATTGAGCAACTGCGGTTTTTAGTCCTTTCAATACATTTACAGCAAAAGGGGCATGGGCTCTAACAGCCCGAGGCTCGGCTCCATTTTGGCCGGGGGCCATCATTTCTGAAACCGGAAATGCCATTTTGGGCAGGGGCCTACTGAGCCCAGGCGCCATTTTAGGGGTGCCACGTGTCTGATCAGCCTGCAAAGATTGTAAATGTAATATAAGCCTCTCAAACAGTCGATTTTCCAGGTCCAAAAGCACATTGGAAGATTGAGGAGCAAATGTGGACAGTTCATTATTATCAGGAGGTGGTTTTGTAGCATCTGGTGCTGCAATGGAGTCAGGACGGTATTTGGAAGCCTCTTTGGCTAAGTCTTCCCAATTGACCTCTTGTAGTAAGGTCGGGATACAAAGATTTATAATGGGTCAGGAGAGGAGCCTCGGGTGGAGGAGGCGGCAGCTGCTCCTTATCTGGGGGTTTAGTTAACACTTCATTTGCCTCCTCACTGTGGAGAGAGGAGACGTCTAAACCAGCCTGGGAAGGGGCCGGAGTGGGCCTATTGGAGTTAGCAGGACAGCTTCTCCGGGGGTAATCATTTCTCCGACCAGAGGGTCTCTATGTCTCTGTGTAAGAATCTCATCAATCAAGCCCCAGTATGAAAATGCTGTGATTGGGACCTTTTCAGGACCAAAAAGTCTATAATAATCTTGTAATGCATCACCTACTCGTTTCCATCTTTTAGAGTCTATTGTGCCCTCCAACGGAAAACATAGGCAAACCTCATGAATAAACTTAAAATACTGTAATTAATCCTTTTCCTTTACCTTAATCCCTCGTGTCTTGAGTGCCTTACTGAGGCTTTCCACAAAGAGTTCATGCTCACTTAATGCTTGACCCATGCTGGAAAAGGGGAAGGGGTTGCCGTTCACTCACCGTCGCTCGAGCGGCGTGGCAGGCACTCACGCAGCGTTGGCCTCGGAATTTACTTTCACTATCTGCTTCATAGCCGGCGCTCTCAAACGGCTCCCTCGTTAAATCCTCCGTGCCAGGCCTCCATGTCGGGCGCCACCTGACTTGGCCCGCACGTGGGGTAATGACAGGAGGAGGAACGGGGATGAAAGAGACACAAAAGACGGAGACAAGACAGGCTTTCTGATCAAGTCTCATTTGTTGAGGAAGTGAACAGGGTCTAAATAGCCATATAGTGGAAGTAGTTGGGTGGGACTAGTTGTAGATTGATAGCGGAGGTCCAGGACCACAGAAAGATGTCGAGGCAAGTGGGGATTGGTGCTGCAGCACTTTTTGCCCAAATAAGGGAAAATATAACAGGAGCGTTCTATCGCCCCCCCACACTCCCTTAAAACAAAAGTGATTCTCTTAAATTTAGAACAATTGTCTATTCCTTTTCTGATAAACACAAATAGGTATTTGCCTCTGAAAGATGCTAAAACATAATTTGTTAATACAATTTTAAGGGTTTTCTAGATAATTAAAATTATTGACCTTAAAACTATTCTTTGTTTTCTTTTGTTTTTTGTCTTTTTGAGACGGCATTTCACTATGTAGTTCAGGCTGACCTTCAACTCATTTTATAGCCCATACTAGCCTCAAACTCCCAGAAATCCTCCTGCTTCAGCCTCCAGAGTGTTGGAATTACAAGAGTACACAACTACACCTGGCTTACTTTTATTTTTTCTTTTTTAAAAATGTTTCTTTTTTGTTTTTTTTCTAAGAAGTATTATTCTTAGCTATAGTTACTCATAGTGAAAACACATTTATATCTCTGTTCAGTTACTTTTACATGACTCCTAGAATAAAGGTTTTTGTTATTTGAAGATATCTGTTAATTCTTAATTTTTTTTTTTTCCTTGGCGGAACCGGGGTTCGAACTCAGGCCCTTGTGCTTACCAGGGAAGCACTTATTCTCTGGGCCATCTCTCTGGCCCCCGATTCTTAATATTTTTATTCCAGGAAAAGTCAAGTTTGGGTTTGAGAATTACATAGCTAACTACATTAGCTCATCTTCTGGCTGTGATTGCCACATGCCTACAGATATTAATAAAGTTTCTCACAAGACAAGTCTTTTTGTGCCTTTGAACTAAGTAAGGGGCTGGTAAGATAGCTCAGTGGAATAAGCGCCTGCCTGGCAAGTGTGAGATCATGAGTTTGATCCTCAGTACAAAAAAAAAAAAAAAAAACCTAAGTCAGGTGTAGCCATCTGTGAATAAGTAATATCCAAGGTGTGTTTCTGAATTTGATGTGTTAAATTTTAGGGTGAGTGGAGTTGAGATAAAGTTGACATGTATACAATTCATAGTGCTGATAACATTTATTTTTGTTGTTTCAGCATTACCTCTATGAACTTTCAAGCGGCACTGTTGTTTTCTGACCCAGCCAGATCTCACCTTATATAATTGTAGCGTTTCAGTACAAGGAACCTTAGAAGATGGAAACACCAGCTCATAAAAGCTTGTGAGTAATTATGTGCACATACTCTGTTTAACATAAACTCTGTTTCTTTTGTGCTTATAAAAATGCTTTTTTTTTCCTTTCTAGACATGAAGACAATAAAAATGGTAAGAAATTACTTTATTAATTCTTTGTGGGAAGTTTTATTTTAGTAAATATTTCATTCACAAATAATGTTTCAAATTCTTTTATCTTCATTTCTTAAAGTTCTCATGTCTCCATGGAAAGGAAAATTAACTATTAAAAATTGTGTGCTGTGTGATATAACTCTGTGGTCCACTAGTGGTACAGTAATTCCAGCACAGTTGTAAGTATCCTGCCTGTTACAATTATTTTTTATCCAGTGCTAGGTGTCTAATCCAGGGCCCTGTGCATACTAAGAAAGTACAGTGCCACTAAAATTATGGTACCCCCAACCCCTATCTTATGGTTTGGTTTGGTTTTTGTTTTTAGTTCTCTTTTTTAGGTCTTGGTAGAAGATATTTGGTTAAATTGAGGAGTTAGACTTAGCTTTAGATAGAATGTATTTGAATAGATGTGTAGGGGCCGGGGAGATGGCTCAGTGGAATAAGAGCTTCCCTGGCAAGCGCAAGGGCCTGAGTTCAATCCTTGGTTCTGCAAAAAAAAAAAAAAAAAAAGATTGAATAGATGTGTAAAACACAAGGCTATGAGACCTAATTTCTAATCTATTAGTGGGCAAATGATCTTTCAGGATAAATTAAATTATTTGACATTAGAAGTCTGACTTTCCCCTAAAACATACCAAATTTGCCTAGATACAGCAGGCTATCACAGCTAAATTCTATTAATTTTTTTTTAAAATTTTATTTATTTATTTATTTATTTGAGAGAGAGAGAGAGAGAGAGAGAGAGAGAGAGAGAGAGAGAGACCAGCTCAGCCCACCAGGGGGCGGGCTGGCTGGCATGTGGTGCTGGGGGATTGAACCGCGGTCCCTGATGCTTTTGCTAAGCTTGTTCTAAGTAGGTGCTTTAGACCACTGAGCCATCTCTCCAGCCCTAAATTCTATTATTGAGTTCATTAAGATTTGCAGAATCCAATTTCTAAATTTCTATATTATTCTCTTAGAAAAATATTGCTTAAAGTAGATGTTAAATCTCCTAAATATATAAATAATCATGTATTTTCTTGGGGAATTGTGAAAGACGTCTATGAACCTTTTTGTTCAAGGAGTTATAATCTTATCCTCAAGACCAAGATAGACATAGTTTAGTTATAATATAAAGCAAAAACAAGTATAGTATCAGAATTTATTTGGTTTCTGTTGATCGTTTTTTTTTAAAAAAAAGCAGCAAAGGTATTATAGTCTAAAAAGGATTCTGTGAATAAATAAAAGGAAAAAAATGAGAATTTTTCCTCACTGTACAGTGCAACTACCACAGTTGAAAAAAAAAAAAAAACTGATAGAATATGATAACAGCTGGATGTAAAAAATAGTAAGCTAAAGCTTAGATAGTATTTGCATATATCCATATAACTTGCTTATTAGTCATAAGGGAAAAATTGACTTACCTGTAGAGAAAACTGGCACATCTCATCTTAAGTGGTTAAATCAGCTTGGCCATTAACACCATAGGTGTCATGTGCTTTCTGATACTCTATACAGGGAATAGTACAATAGCACTTCTCTCTAGTGGACTGCTAACCTAATCAAGAAGAAATGTTAAAATAAAATAAAATGTTAGACTTACCTAGATTCAAAGGCATGCTACAGAATGGTCTGTAGTTTTAAAATATCAAGGTCTTTAAAAATAAAGACTGAAGCAGGAGGATCACCACAAGTCCGAGCTGCATAGTGAGACCCTGTAATAACCAACCACATTAATAATAAATAAAGAAAACTGTCCAAAATAAAAGGAAGTTAAGCAAATAGGCTAGATAGCTAAATGCCTTGTGTTACCCTGAATAGGAAAAATATTTTCTTTTGCTGTGATGGATCTTAGTGAAATATTTGACAGAAATTGAATAAGGTAGAGGGGCCAGGGAGATGGCTCAGTAGAATAAGTGCTTCCCTGGCAAGTGCAAGGGCCTGAGTTCAATCCCCGGTTCGAAAGAAAGAAAGAAAGAGAGAGAGAGAGAGAGAGAGAGAGAGAGAGAGAGAGAGAGAGAGAGAAAGAAAAGAAATTGAATAAGCTCAATTAAATAATGGTACTACATCAGTGTGAATTTCTTGATTTTGCTGATTGCTTTATGATTGTGCAAGGAAATATATGAAGAAATTATATAAAGAGTTAAAGGGCTGAAAGTTGGCATCTTACTCTCAAAAGAATCAAAGTATAAAGAAAATGAGTAACAAAGCAAATGTGCTTGGGGATCTGGATGAAGGATATCCAATGTCCTTTTATACTGTTTTCACAAATTTTCTAGTCAAACTTATTTCAAAATAAGTTTTGGAAAAACAAAAAGTAATTGGGATATCTCTTCATTACTTTTCTCCCATTGCTGAAACACAGTACCTTGAAAAAGGAAAGTTTTATTTAGCTCACAGTTTGTAGAGATTTATTTTGGTCCAAAATCAGCTGGGTCCAAGACAGGGTAGCTTTACAAAAGAGAGCAAAATGTAAGAAGACAGCAAAAGCAACAAGGACGGAGATAAGACTTTTTCTGTCCCTTATATTGTATGCAGGTTATCTACCCTTAATCTTAGCCAGGACTATGCCAAAACAATCAGTGGACTGATTTACTAATCTCACACATCCTTAGTCCCAGCACCACACACTCTAGATTCAGCCACCTCTAAAAATGTCCTGTGACCACATGAGTCTAAACCACAACAGGATATAATACAAAAGATACAGTTCCTTGTATGGCACAATTTAATATTAGCAAGAATTTTCAACTCTTCTATTATTCTTTGATGCATTTAGATGTTTTGGTTACACCAAAAATAAATATATTCAGAAAATCTGAGCATATTTTCAGACCATACATATGGGTCATACGTATGAAAATCTATAAGGTTACGAATATGCATGTTATTTAACTTAAGAGTATTTTTAAGGACTTTTGTGGTAATTATACTGTTACTTGTATTTACCTTAGAGAAGTAAAAATTATAGAACTGTAATTTCAATATTTATTACACAACTTTTTATATTGTTTTGTTTTTTAGACCACACATACTAGATTTTAGGTATGTAATACAAGTGTCATCTTTGAAAGAAAAACTGCCAGAAGCTGCTTTGAGAAAACAGATTTACTTGGAAGAAAGAGGTCTGTTGAAATAAAATGACACATGGCATGCTCTGGGCTTTGTTCTACTTTCTGCTCTTTGTCTTCCATGCACTCATGTACACTGCACATACACACATATGTACTTTTGTTTCATCACAAATGCTTCTTAAGAGGGTCTTTGGAGAAAGTTCTAGAGTTTCCATATTTATTTCCTTGGAAACCGAGTAGAAACTGGAAGGTAGTTTTATTTAAGATGAAAGACAAGGTTTAACATAGAATGTTAACAGATACTAAAAATAGTTGGAAACTGACAGTTCTTCTCAAGGACAAAAACATTTTTGTTATTTTTATTTATGTACTTTTAAATAAATATGAAAGAAAAATTTTTGGTTATTTAGGTTACTGCATAGAACATTGATATTTATGTAGTATTTGTCTTGTTTTTTTGTTTGTTTGTTTTTGTTTTTGGTACCAGGTATCAAACTCAGGACCTTGTACTTGCGAGGCAGGTGCTGTGCCGCTGAGCTATATCCCTGGCCCTAGTATTTGTCTTGTTATTGCTGTGGCTGTGTCAGTGTACATGAGAGCATTATTTTAAAATAACATTCACAGCTGGGCATGGTAATCCCAACACTGGGGAAACCAATGGAGGATTGATCACTATAAAACTCAAAGCCAGCCTGGACTACATAATGAGTTCAAAAACAAAACAACTTCTAACTTTTTCTCTCTGTCTCTCTCTCTCTTTTTTCTTTTTCTTTTTTCTTTT